AGATTCCCATTCATCTTTAAACTTAATGGAAGGGGCAAGATTATTAAGAGCTTCAAGAAAAGGTTGGAAGAGACTGGAGTCATGAGGCCACAGAGCAAAGATATCATCCACATAGCGGAGCCAGAGTGAAGGTTGCACATCGAGGGTAGGAAGAAGAACAGTCTCGAAGTATTCCATGTAAAGATTAGCAAGGACAGGAGAGAGAGGAGAGCCCATAGCTACACCGAAGGTTTGAGAATAATATTTCCCTTGGAAGGAAAAGGAGTTAGAGTCCACACAGAGGCGGATAAGATCAAGAAAGACATCAGTAGGTATAGGGAGATGAAGAACCCCTACATGGGCCTTCTCTCTAAGGAAATCAAGGACATCATCAAGAGGGACATTGGTGAAGAGGGACTCAACGTCAAGATTAAGCATCTTGCAGGTTGGGAGAGAGCGAACCCGTTCAATGAAGTCTTGAGAGTGACGGAGGTGTGCAGGAGAAAAAGTACCAAGAAAGGGAGTGAGGGTTTTGACCAGCCAAGAAGTAAGAGAATAAGAGACCGAACCTCTAGAGGATATGATAGGACGAAGAGGAATATCAGGTTTATGAGTTTTGGGAAGGCCATAGAAATAGGGAAGAGAGGGACAGATGACACGAAACCGTTGAACAAGGTCAAAGTCAGGAGGACAGAGGTTGGAGAGAGTCCTTAGTTTTTTGTTGAAAGTACTCTTGGTGCGATCAAGAGGGTTGGAAACGAGAGGAGTGTAGGCACGTGAGTCAGAGAGCAAGACATCAACTTTACGGAGGTAATCCTCGCGATCAAAGATAACTACTGAATTACCTTTGTCAGAAGATAGTATGACAATGTTAATGTTGGATTTAAGAGAAGAAAGGGCAAGTTGGTAACGGCGTGGAAGATGGTGATTCTTAGAAAACAGACTAACAAGAGCAGGAAGGAGAGCGCCACGAAAAGTGGACAAGTCAGGAAGATTACGGTCCAAGTCGGACCGAAACGTCGTCGTAAGCTTCTCTCTTTTATGTGCTGGTTATTTGTGTATAGAACTCCACTGTGGGTGATAGGCTCCACTGTGGACGATAGAGCTCTACTGTGGGTCATAGGCAACAATGTGGCTGATAGAGCTCCACTCTTGGTGATAGAGCTCCAATGTGGGAGATAGAACTCCACTGCGGGTGATAGAGCTCCACTGATGGTGACTGAGCTCCACTGTGGGTGATAGAGCTGCGCTGTGGGTGATAGGTTACACTGTGGTTTATAGACCTCCACTGTGAGAGATATAACTGCACCGTGGGCGATAGGCTCCACTGTGTGTGATAGAGCTCCGATGTGGGTGATATAACACCACTGTGGGTGACAGAGCTCCACTGTGGGTGACAGAGCTCCACTGTGGGTGATAGAAATCCACTGTGGGTGAGAGGCTCCACTGTGGGTGGTAAAGTTCCACTGTGGGTGATAGAACTCCGCTATGGGTGAAGGGCTCCAATGTTGGTGATAGAACTCCACTGTGGGTGATAGGCTCCACTGTGGGTGACAGAACTTCACTGTGGATGATGGAGCTCCACTGTGGGTGATAGAGCTCTACTGGGTGATAGAACTCCACTGTAGGTGATAGGCTCCACTGTGGGTGATAGAGCTCCACTGTGTGTGATAGAGTTCCACTGTGGGTTATAGAACTCCACTGTGGGTGATAGGCTCCACTGTGGGTGATAGAGCTCCACTGTGTGTGATAGAGTTCCACTGTGGATGATGGAGCTCAACTGTGGGTGATAGTGCTCCACTGGGTGATAGAACTCCACTGTGGGTGATAGGCTCCACTGTGTGTGATAAAGCTCCACTCTGGTTGATAGAGTTCCAATGCGGGTGATAGAACTCCACTGTGGGTGATAGAGCTCCACTGTGGGTGATAGAGCTCCACTGCGGGTGATAGAGCTGCACTGTGGGTGATAGGTTCCACTGTGCGTGATAGAGCTCCACTGTGGGTGATAGGCTCTACTGTTGGTGACAGAACTCCACTGTAGGTGATAGAGCTCCACTGTGGGTAATAGAGCTCCACTGTGGGAGATATAACTCCACTGTGGGCGATAGGCTCCACTGTGCGTGACAGAGCTCCACTATGGGTGATAGAACTCCACTGTGGGGGATTGAGCTCCACTGTGGGTGACAGAGCTCCACTGTGGGTGACAGAGCTCCACTGTGGGTGATAGAACTCCACTGTGGGTGATAGAGCTCGACTGTGGGTGATAGAGCTGCACTGTGGGTGATAGAACTCCACTGTGGATGACAGGCTCTTCTGTGGGTGATAGAGCTCCACTGTTGATAATAGAGCTATACTGTTGGTGATAGAACTCCACTGTGGGTGATAGGCTCCAATGTCGGTGATTGAGCTCCACTGTGGGTCATAGGCTCCACTGTGGGTTATAGAGCTTCACTATGGGTGATAGAGCTCCAGTGTGGGTGATAGAACTCCACTGTGGGTGATCTAGCTCCACTGTGGGTGATAGAGCTCCACTGTGGGTGATAGAGCTGCACTCTGGGTGATAGGTTCCACTGCGCGTGATAGAGCTCCACTGTGGGTGATAGGCTCCACTCTGGGTGATAGAACTCCACTGTGGGTGATAGAGCTCCACTGTGGGTGACAGAGCTCCACTGTGGGAGATATAACTCCATTGTGGGCTATAGGCTCCACTGTGTGATAGAGGTCCACTGTGGGTGATAAAACACCGCTGTGGGTGATAGAGCTCCACTGTGGGTGATAGAGCTCCACTGTGGGAGATATAACTTCACTGTGGGCGATAGCCTCCACCGTGCGTGATAGAGCTCCACTGAGGGTGATAGAGCACCACTGTGAGTGATAGAGCTCCACTGTGCGTGATAAAGCTCCACTGTTGGTGATGGAGCTCTACTGTTGGTGATAGAACTCCACTGTGGATGATAGGCCCCACTGTGGGTGATAGAGCTCCACTGTGGGTCATAGGCTCCACTGTGGATGATAGAGCTGCTCTCTGGGTGATAGCTCTCCAGTGCGGGTGATAGAGCTCCACTCTGGGTTATAGAGCTCCTCTGTGGGTGATAGGCCCCACTGTGGGTGATACAGCTTCACTGTGGGTCATAGGCTCCACTGTGGGCGATAGAGCTCCACTCTGGGTGATAGGTCTCCAATGCGGGTGATAGAACTCCAATGTGGGTGATAGAGCTCCACTCTGGGTGATAGAGCCCCACTCTGGGTGGCAGAGCTCCACTCTGGGTGATAGAGCTCCACTGTGCAGCAAACTAAAAGAATCTATATATTTATAGTTTTCAAACTCTTGGCAGTGCCTGGCTGGTCACACAGCTCTGAACCCCCGTCCTGGCAGTACCTGGCTGGTCACACAGTTCTGAACTTCTGTCCTGGCAGTGCCTGGCTGGTCAAACAGTTCTGGACCCTCGTCCTGGCAGTGCCTGGCTGGTCACACAGCTCTGAACCCTCGTCCTGGCAGGTCACACGGTTCTGGACCCTCGTCCTGGCAGTGCCTGGATGGTCACACAGTTCTGAACCCCCATCCCGGCAGTGCCTGGCTGGTCAAACAGTTCTAGACCCTCGTCCTGGCAGTGCCTGTCTGGTCAAACAGTTCTGGACCCTCGTCCTGGCAGTGCCTGGCTGGTCACACAGCTCTGAACCCTCGTCCTGGCAGGTCACACGGTTCTGGACCCTCGTCCTGGCAGTGCCTGGCTGGTCACACAGTTCTGGACCCTCATTCTGACAGTGCCTGGCTGGTCACACAGTTCTGGACCCTCGTCCTGGCAGTGCCTGGCTGGTCACACAGTTCTGGACCCTCATTCTGACAGTGCCTGGCTGGTCAGACAGTTCTGGACCCTCGTCCTGGCAGTGCCTGGCTGGTCACACAGTTCTGGACCCTCGTCCTGGCAGTGCCTGGCTGGTCACACAGTTCTGGACCCTCGTCCTGGCAGTGCCTGGCTGGTCACACAGTTCTGGACCCTCGTCCTGGCAGTGCCTGGCTGGTCACACAGTTCTGGACCCTCGTCCTGGCAGTGCCTGGCTGGTCACACAGTTCTGGACCCTCGTCCTGGCACTGCCTGGCTGGTCACAGTTCTGAACCCTCGTCCTGGCAGGTCACACGGTTCTGGACCCTCGCCCTGGCAGTGCCTGGCTGGTCACACAGTTCTGGACCCTCATTCTGACAGTGCCTGGCTGGTCACACAGTTCTGGACCCTCGTCCTGGCAGTGCCTGGCTGGTCACACAGTTCTGGACCCTCGTCCTGGCAGTGCCTGGCTGGTCACACAGTTCTGGACCCTCATTCTGACAGTGCCTGGCTGGTCACACAGTTCTGGACCCTCATTCTGACAGTGCCTGGCTGGTCACACAGTTCTGGACCCTCATTCTGACAGTGCCTGGCAGGTCACACAGTTCTGGACCCTCGTCCCGGCAGTGCCTGGCTGGTCAAACAGTTCTGGACCCTCGTCCTGGCAGTGCCTGGCTGGTCACACAGTTCTGAACCCTCGTCCTGGCTGGTCACACAGTTCTGGACCCTCGTCCTGGCAGTGCCTGGCTGGTCACACAGTTCTGGACCCTCGCTCGTGACCAGCGTCACTCCTCACTATGCTGGTAATGAGATCTTGATCTAAGGAACTGGAGCTGCCAGACCCTTATAGCGGATCAGCCTTATTACCTCCATTCCCTAGTAGTATTCTTTTTCATGGTAGTTGTTGTGTTTATGGTTTGTAAATGTGCGAGCGCCTGTGAATATTTATAAAGAACAAACACTCAAGATTGATTAGATTCTATAATAATATTATAATTATTTATAGTAATTATTATTGCTAATTATTATAATTATTATTCTCCCAGCGCTGTTTCAAACCTACATGCATGTTTAGCGCTTTTCCATTTATGCACTAATACTGCCCTTTATAAACACAGTTATAGATGTTTATAACAGATATCATTGTATTTGCATTATCTATATAAATATCACAAGGTATGGCCAATGAGACGCAGCTTTGGATAATGATTTATTTGGTAATTCTATAGATAACATCTACTTATATGATACAAAATTACATTTCTTATGTACATCCCTGACATTGCCTTCATAAACATTTTTAATAGCTATATATTTACATGGAATGTAGCTTGCATCACAATAGATAAGGTAGCAGTTGCAGCAAGCACCAACTTGTGAACAGCAACCATCCTGCACTACTCTTGTGCCTCCAACCCCATCCAATACGTCCCAGTGTCTCTCCACTCAAAGTTTCGCTCCACCCTCCAAGTACTCTTATTTCCACCCTCTATGGGGGAAGAGCTGGAGAATAGCTGTTGGGACTCTTAGTTTCTAGCACTTTTCCCGTTAATTAACATTTTTACTTCAGGTCATATCTCAAACAGACAATCCAGGATAGTAGCAAATTCCACCACGTCCATAGGACTACCAACATGAATCATCACAGTTCCATGAATATCTTCAACAGGGTTTACCATTCTACAACACAAATGTTTCTCTCCGCATAAAATGGAATTTTACCGCGACGCTATGGCTGAGCACTCTGTGTCAGCCCCAAAGAATCCATTTCAGAAATTAGCATCATAGTATTCACAACATAACTATTTTTAAAGTATATTATATAGCCTACAGAGACTCAAGCTTCTGCAAGTACATCACTGTAAAGCTTCTCTTTCCGTTTAGTCATTACTTTATTATAACTAGGCTATTACATAACTAGCAGTGTTTGCAACAAACTTCAAACAATATTAATTTTTATAAACCCTGTTACTGTACTATATATATACTGCTAATTTTATAAGGCAGCATAATTAATGCAAGGAATCTATACTTCATTATTCGGTAATTCTTCAGAGGCAAGGTCTTCTCTCACTGAACTAAGATGTCAGCCTATTTCTCACTGCTACAGCTGGTAACTCTACGGTTACAATTCATTACAGTACACATGTTACAAAGCATAGTTCTCAAGATATTGTTACTAAGCCAAACTCTTATATTATTAAAGATTACAGAGCCTAGTTCTTATGCCACAGACTAACAGGTCTATTTCTTAAGAGTAAACATCTTACCAACCACTATTCTCAAGAAGCTGCGTCTGTTAAAATGAGTTAACGAACCTTAATTTACAGGGTGTAGATTACTATTTAAGTTTTACTCTCACAATAGAAGGTCAAAAGGTCCAATTATCACAATACTAGAATCGACAGGTATAAAATTTCAGGGGTTGAGGAAGTCCTTAACTGACTTATTATTAGCCTCATAGACAAAGGTTATATCATGCCAATTTCCTGGAATGCTGAGTTACACTACACAATACACACTAATACAGCTAATAAGATTACTTTTCAGCACAATTCATGGTATAATACTGACACAACAAATTATCATGGGTGATAACTATGAAAAATCTAGCACCACATAAAGTAGCCTAACTGTGGCACCATTATTTACTCTAGCACACACTGAGTGTGTTTTAAGCACACACAAGTTGAACACAGGTGATAGCTGTACTAGCTACGTTAAATGAAGAGTGTAAAATTAAGTTCTCACAAAATGCGAGTCTGTAAGGCTTAACTTATCGAACATAAGACTGTGGTGAAGTATTTCATGAGGTGTAGGCCTAATGTAATTACAAAAATAAACATTGTTTATATTAAGTACTTCAATAAACATTTTAACAAAGAAATTATAACAATATTTATAGTTTATCTTATAAATAATACCAGAAGAATATGAATGTCATATTACCAATGGTAGGAGAAATTTGCAACTTATGAAGATACAAAAAAAATGGACACCTGTTTAGGTTCGGGAAACTTGGGTAACTAATTCTTCAGTGAACATTTTAAAACACATCCATCACGTAGAAGATTTGCTAGAAAGATAATTTATAAATTATATTGTATTTAATTACAGATGAAGATATTTCAGAAAATTTGATTTTACATCACATGCTAGGATGTGGATGGTGGCACTAAGTACATAAGTTACAGAATATATTAAATTGGTCGTCCTGGGGTAAATTTTTATATGAAAACATCTGTGGTGTCTGATGAAAGATCAGGATGAGTTAAATCAAATTTTTATATCCTAATGAACTTGAGTGATTAGCTGCATGTAGCTTGAATGATTTGTAAGTCAATGACATAAGCAACTGAAGAGAGGCATAAGTAAATAAAAAGAAGTATAGATAAGGGGAATTACGAAGATAGAAAGGTAGTCAGGAAGCCATCTTGTGAAGATATACTAAATCTTAACCGGCTGAAATCGCCGAGGCATAGGCACAGTGTTGTATAAGACGTGATGATGATGATGAAGGATGACCTAATGGTATGGTGACATAAACAAAATATGGCACCTAAGGGAATGACAATTTTTAAGTGGGTTATGCTTAGCATGCAGCTTCGTGCTCTGCATTACACCAGCAAATTAACATACTAATTGTGAATTTATAATATAAATGTGAAAAGTCATTTTTGGTTGGTGTGTACTCACTCGAACATTATTCAAGATCCACAACACAGAGCATTTATCTTCTATTATAATGCTAAGTGGAAATACATCCAGTGAATGGGATGTGTACTGGAGAATACTAGGGTTTTTTAATTGCCTATTCCTGATTCTTTATAAAGTAGCTACTGCCATATAGCTTAATGGTGTTAAAAAAGTTTAATTACATAATACACACAATACTTACTAACATCCATAACTTAATGATCAAAATAAAGAACAGATATGGAATAAAGTTTATAAATGTGATTCACTGCCACCTGTGAAAATTATCCCATATGGATCACATAGTTACCGGTACTCTACTCCTTCAGAGTAACACAGACAGATTTACCATAATCTCATAAGAATTATGGTAATCTGAGTTAACTGTATATTGCTTCTGATGTGTTGACATTAGCAGGCAAATGAATGCACTGCAGAGCATACATTACATGTCAACAGAAGCTTAATTAAGGCATTTTGATTTGGTATATAATATATCCTCTTTAGATTCTGAGAACACATGGACATTAATGGAAGCATTGAGTCTTTGTCAGATGCTTAATATTTCGTAATTTTGTTATAGGTTCCGAACTACATCTGGCTTTATAAGAAGCCCTTTACAAGGGCTTCCTTAAATGATGAAGCATTAAGCTGTCTGGACTAGTAAGAGAAGCCTAGATCACACTGAGACTGGACAGTACGGTACAGCTGTCCTCGCATGTGTCACACATTCCTAACTGTATTCACACAGAGGAGAGGGACTTACATGATTATATTTCTTAACAAGGGAAGGAGATTCACTCACTACAGTATCACTACTAAGTCACTGCTAAGGTACTGGTTTTCAGTGTGAGAGGAAACTACAGTTTGGTTGCATCTAAATTTTGAAGAGAGTCTTTATCTTCAGAATAACCACTTTCTTCACTAATGTTATCACCTTCCATGAGTGCCATCTTGCTAGGGTTGTCGCCTTTTCTTATAAGGTGACTTTCGCTAATAATGTGATCACTTTCGTTCATGAGGTTCTCCTGCTCAGTAGTGACGTCACAAGGGTCACTGCAAGCACCACATGATGAGCTGCATGAGTCACAGTGGGAGCCTAGAGACTCCGGCTGATCTGAAGTGAGAGATTCTTCTGCAGGAGCAGCCAGGTTTAACTCACGTGTTAGAGTAGCCAGCAAACCTAGATCATCTCTTCCTCTCACTTCAATACTCCTCGCATCATCACATGAACCTTCGTCATCCGCGACTTCTTCCACAACGCCCAATGGTTGATGGTGTTGTGGTCGGTGGTCTAGGGGTGATAGGGGAGGCACTGGACAATAAAGGAGACTGTCGGAGTGGTGACGTGTAGAGGCAAATTGCGGACTTTCATCTTCATACTCTTCATCAAGCACGTAATGATCTTGTCCGGCACTTGCAAACTCACTGCTGGAGTCATAATCCATGACAATATCCGAGGTTGTCTCTGACATAGTACTAGAACCGCCTACGTCTTCCTCCGGTTGTAGATGTACAGAAGCTATGTCGTCTATTTCCTCTTCATCACTGTTCCCTAGGCCTTCCTCATCTTCCTCCTCTATAGTCTCTTCGATGGCACCAAGCTTAGGTGCGCTCTTTGATCGCTCAAGAGGTGGGCGATAGTTAGCACCTCCAGTGGAGAGAAGAAGCTTGCGCCGAGGGATGGCAGCAGAATCATAGATGGCGTGCATGAGGGACATCCGCGCATTCTGCCTCACAACTTTCTCTCTTCGAAATTCTTGCAGTGCTGATGCCAAGCGGACTCTCAATTGTGCTGCCATTGCCTGGAAAAAATAGAAATAACTACTTATTATACCTTATTCAGTAGCCATAAATGCATACACACTTGAGGCTCTTCATTTTTAGCATTCTTTACAACAGAAAATATTGACTTCCTTTGATGCAGTTCTTCACAATTACTGTATGCATTTCAAAATATACAAATCAGATATGTACACATTACAGAAGATGTAACTTTCTGAATCCAATTCAGTAGGAAGGTAACTTTCTGAATCCAATTCAGTAGGAAGGAAGACAAGAAAGAAAGTGAACGATAAAGTTGATGGATTGTATAGAAGGAATGTTTTGGTAATCGGAGGCTCAAGTGTTCGGTCACAGATGCAAAAGCACCAGAGGATGGAAGAAATATAAAAATAAGCAGATGGAAGTGGACATAGAAAGAACATTTGAACCAGAAGCGAATACGCGAGGGCGAGAAGAGAGCGAGTGACAGAATGAGAACGTTACAGCATAAATGCAAAGTCAGAACGGTAACATCAGTCGGAAGTAACAGAAACTGATAGTACTTAAAGATAGCTGATGAATAACGATAAGGTCTGTTTGAAACTAAATGAACGTATCACTGAGGTATTCACAAAGAAAAAAGGGGACAATGCCAGAGAACAGGAGAGAAAAGGCAGACCAGCAGAGACAGCATGCCGTCAACACAACAGGAAACAACAATAAATGCCAGGCAAAGTGGATGCGTCATGAGAAATGGTTCTCACAAGGATGAGAGAGGCAGTGGTGGCACTGTCAACCGCTAATGAAAATCTACATGTAAGTCGACGGAGACAGGGCACTTTCTGCAAAGCTGAAAAACTAGCATATGTCGTCCCAGTACGATACATACATATCATGCCGGCATCTTGGACGTGCATATTGTCTAAGGTAGTTAAGAAGATACTCAGGAGTACTGAAGCACCTGGTGAAGCATCTAGTCATAAACCATACACATCACACTTTAAAAAGAGGAAAATTCTATTATCCTGCTATTATTACTACTATTAATATAATAATATGACAGGGAGGATAGGGAACAATATGGCGGATGTCAAAAATTACTTACATTTAATATCTGGAGGAATCACGTTAATAAGGATAACAAAGTTTAGGTTCCCAGTTTTTGTGATGTATATTACATGGGTCTAAGGGATTACCTGAGAAGTATTGACTGGGGTGCTCTGAATAGTTTAAGGAGACTGACTAGGGTGATGACTATCAATGTGACATTTTCCGAAGCATCGTACCAGCTGACCACGTTGTACATATTCCAAACAGAATTTAAATCAAACATGACTGACCCTAAATGGAGGAACAATTGACTCAAACATCTCATGGGTGAAACGAGAGACATTTACAAGCAAAGCAAAAGAGGAAAGAGGCATCTTATTAATCAATGCATTCAGTTTAAGATAGAACTTATAAAAAAATGAAGAAAGCCAAAAGAAAATGTGAAATTAGTATTGCTAGAGAATGATATACTAATCCAGAGTTTCTTTCAGGAGTATAGAAATAAGATTAAAGGAAAATAAAATCCCACAGGATGACCAGAAGGTTGTCTGGGGTGGAAGGAAGGGAAGGGATCATCCCAGGAAGGACTAGAGGGAGGGAATAAAGGAAGGTTTTGAGTGCTAGTGGCTTGAGCATCTAGCAGGGTTATGTGAGCTTCTTAGATCGGAGTGAAGACAAGTGAATTTTATGACTTGATGTCGTGCTGTTGGAGTGTGAGCAAGGAAACATTTATGAAGGGACTCAGTGAAAATGATAAGCCGGACCTGAGTCCTGGAAGTGGTGAGTACAGTCAGTCCCGCACTCTGAAGGACGAGTAAGGATGCTGTAATTCCGAGTCATTTAAACTGGAATGTCTGTGCACATCTGGCAACACAGCTATTGAATGAATAATGATGAATGTGATTCAGTTTTTTTGGGTCACCCTACCTTGGTGGAAGACGGCAGGTGTGTTAAATAATAATAATAATAATCATTATACTACTACTACTAATAATAATAATTTAATAATATTAGATTAGGTTAGACGTAAAATACTGACTGACCTCTGCTTTGCTGTTCTTTGGACAGAGAACAGCATGACAACGCAGCTCCTGCTTGAGTCTGCGTCCCTCGTGACGGTAGACCCAACAGAAGACCCTGGGGTAGGCCGGGTGCGCCACGCAGTACGTGACCCGGTGCGCCCAGTACTCGGTGAGACCGTGTTCCCGGGTCACCGCTCGTAGACCCGCACCGCAGATAGTCACCTGCCGATCAACAGGAAAATTAATGGCTACAGAAAGTTACAACACAACAACAATAAAAAGACAAACTACAAGCGGACAAATCTGATTAATTCTAAGACAGTACTGACCCAATACGGTGGATTTTGGTGGCTTTCGAAAATATTATGTACGTATAATGTTGCGGTTTTCTTTAAATTTAAATTTTCAACCTGCCTGCTTACCGCCTGCTTGCCTGCCTACCTAACTGCCTGCCTGCCTGCCTAACTGCCTGCCTGCCTGCCTGCCTGCCTGCTTACCTGCCTGCCAGCCTGCCTGCTTACCTGCCTGCTTACCTGCCTGCTTGCCTGCCTACCTGCCTGCTTACCTGCCTGCTTACCTGCCTGCTTGCCTGCCTACCTGCCTGCCTAACTGCCTGCCTGCCTGCCTGCCTGCCTGCTTACCTGCCTGCTTACCTGCCTGCCTGCCTGCTTGCCTGCCTACCTGCCTGCTTACCTGCCTGCCTGCCTACCTACCTGCCTGCCTGCTTACCTGCCTACCTGCCTGCCTGCCTGCTTACCTACCTGCCTGCCTGCCTGCCTGCTTACCTGCCTGCCTGCCTGCCTGCCTGCCTACCTGCCAGCCTGCCTGCCTGCCTACCTGCCTGCCTGCCAGCCTGCCTGCTTGCCTGCCTGCCTGCCTACCTGCCTGCCAGCCTGCCTGCCTGCCAGCCTGCCTGCCTGCTTGCTTGCCTACCTGCCTGCCTGACTGCCTGATTGCCTGCCTGCCTGCCTGCCTGCCTGCCTGCCTGCCTACCTGCCTGCTTGCCTGCCTACCTGCCTGCCTGCTTGCCTGCCTGCCTGCCTGCCTGCCTGCCTACCTGCCTGCTTGACTGCCTACCTGCCTGCCTGCCAGCCTGCCTGCCTACCTGTCTGCTTGCCTGCCTGCCTACCTACCTGCCTGCCTACCTGCCTGCCTACCTGCCTGCCTACCTGCCTGCCAGCATAGTTGCTGATCCTCCTTTACATGTGTTGTATGTATAGATTAGCTGAGTATCATAGTACCATCCATGTGTTTATATAGAAGATCCCTATTAGGCCGAGTGAAGAACCCCCACGACCTGCCTGCCTGCTTGCTTGCCTGCCTGCCTGCCTGCCTGCCTGCCTGCCTGCCTGCCTGCCTGCCTACCTGCCTGCCTGCCTGCCTGCCTGCCTGCCTGCCTACCTGCCTGTAAAGGAAGGATTGGTGATACAACTAGCCTGGGGCCGCGGGGGCGTTGACCCCCTAAAACATTCCTCTGGCATCCCTCGGGGGGGGGGGGCTAAGATAAGAAGTCAACACATCATCATGATCATGATGATGTGTTGACAAATAACGTATGCGACGCAAAATTATAAAAAATTATTTTGAGATCTTTTTATGTAGATGTCTTTTTGTATAGGTCTTTTTTAGACGTCTTTTTGTATGTCTTGTAGACTTCTGTATACGTCTTTTTCAGACGTGTTTTTGTAGACGTCTTTTTTCGGAACGTCTTGTCATTGGACATCTTTTTATCTGATGCGTCTTTTTTGAGACTTATTCAAGACGTTTATTTTGAGACGTAATTTTTAAGAAGCCTTTGTGTACGTCTTGCGAGACCATCACGAGACTTGAGAAATCTTAAAAAGAATTATGACAATGTCATTGCAAATTCTTGCACATGTTATGGCGGTGATGGTCCTTGAGGGGACCACTGCATGATGAAGGGTTCTTGATCCAGGAAACTGGAGCTGCTTTCTTCTTCCTTGGATCAAATAACGCCTACGATTCCTCAAGCGCTTCCCCGTTAATATAATAATAATAATAATAATAATAATAATAATAATAATAATAATAATAATAATAGTACTGATAGCATTAATAATAATATTGATAACAATAATAATAATAATAATAATTTATTATTATCATTATTAAGTCTTAATCTGGTTAGAATGATGGATGACAGTGTATACCACCTGGATGATTGACGTGTGACAGTGTATACCACCTGGATGATTGACGTGTGACAGTGTATACCACCTGGATGATTGACGTGTGACTGTATACCACCTGGATGATTGACGTGTGACAGTGTATACCACCTGGATGATTGACGTGTGACAGTGTATACCACCTGGATGATTGACGTGTGACTGTATACCACCTGGATGATTGACGTGTGACAGTGTATACCACCTGGATGATTGACGTGTGACTGTATACCACCTGGATGATTGACGTGTGACAGTGTATACCACCTGGATGATTGACGTTGTGACAGTGTATACACCTGGATGATTGACGTGTGACAGTGTATACCACCTGGATGATTGACGTGTGACAGTGTATACCACCTGGATGATTGACGTGTGACAGTGTATACCACCTGGATGATTGACGTGTGACTGTATACCACCTGGATGATTGACGTGTGACAGTGTATACCACCTGGATGACTGACGTGTGACAGTGTATACCACCTGGATGATTGACGTGTGACAGTGTATACCACCTGGATGATTGACGTGTGACAGTGTATACCACCTGGATGATTGACGTGTGACAGTGTATACCACTGGATGATTGACGTGTGACAGTGTTATACCACCTGGATGATTGACGTGTGACAGTGTATACCACCTGGATGACTGACGTGTGACAGTGTATACCACCTGGATGATTGACGTGTGACAGTGTATACACCTGGATGATTGACGTGGGACAGTGTATACCACCTGGATGATTGACGTGTGACAGTGTATACCACCATGGATGATTGACGTGTGACAGTGTATACCACCTGGATGATTGACGTGTGACAGTGTATACCACCTGGATGATTGACGTGTGACTGTATACCACCTGGATGATTGACGTGTGACTGTATACCACCTGGATGACTGACGTGTGACAGTGTATACCACCTGGATGATTGACGTGTGACAGTGTATACCACCTGGATGATTGACGTGTGACAGGCCTTGTGTAGTGCCGAGATGACTGAGATGTCGTGTGACAGTGTATACCACTGGATGACTGACGTGTTGACAGTGTATACACCTGGATGATTGACGTGTGACTGTTATACCACCTGGATGATTGACGTGTGTGACAGTGTATACCACTGGATGACTGACGTGTGACAGTGTATACCACCTGGATGATTGACATGTGACAGTGTATACCACCTGGATGACTGACGTGTGACAGTGTATACCACCTGGATAATTGACGTGTGACAGTGTATATTGGCTGGATGATTGACGTGTGACAGTGTAGTGCCGAGATGATTGACGTGTGACAGTGTATACCACCTGGATGATTGACGTGTGACTGTATACCACCTGGATGATTGACGTGTGACAGTGTATACCACCTGGATGATTGAGTGTGACTGTATACCACTGGATGATTGACGTGTGACAGTGTATACCACCTGGATGATTGACGTGTGACAGTGTATACCACCTGGATGATTGACGTGTGACAGTGTATACCACCTGGATGATTGACGTGTGACAGTGTATACCACCTGGATGATTGACGTGTGACAGTGTATACCACCTGGATGATTGACGTGTGACAGTGTATACCACCTGGATGATTGACGTGTGACAGTGTATACCACCTGGATGATTGACGTGTGACAGTGTATACCACCTGGATGATTGACGTGTGACTGTATACCACCTGGATGATTGACGTGTGACAGTGTATACCACCTGGATGATTGACGTGTGACAGTGTATACCACCTGGATGATTGACGTGTGACAGTGTATACCACCTGGATGATTGACGCTGTGACAGTGTATACCACCTGGATGATTGACGTGTGACAGTGTATACCACCTGGATGACTGACGTGTGACAGTGTATACCACCTGGATGATTGACGTGTGACAGTGTATACCACCTGGATGATTGACGTGTGACTGTATACCACTGGATGATTGATCGTGTGACAGTGTATACCACCTGGATGATTGACGTGTGACTGTATACCACCTGGATGATTGACGTGTGACAGTGTATACCACCTGGATGATTGACGTGTGACAGTGTATACCACCTGGATGTTTGACGTGTGACTGTTACACACACCTGGATGATTGACGTGTGACAGTGTATACCACTGGATGATTGACGTTGTGACAGTGTATACCACCTGGATGATTGACGTGTGACAGTGTATACCACCTGGATGATTGACGTGTGACTGTTTACCACCTGGATGATTGACGTGTGACGTGTTACCACCTGGATGATTGACGTTGTGACAGTGTATACCACCTGGATGATTGACGTGTGACGTACAGTTTTATACCACCTGGATGATTGACGTGTGACTGTATACCACCTGGATGATTGACGTGTGACTGTATACCACCTGGATGATTGACGTGTGACAGTGTATACCACCTGGATGATTGACGTGTGACAGTGTATACCACCTGGATGATTGACGGTGCTGTACACGTGTTATTACACATCCTGGATGATTGACGTGTGACAGTGTATACCACCTGGATGATTGACGTGTGACAGTGTATACCACCTGGATGATTGACGTGTGACAGTGTATACCACTGGATGATTGACGTGTGACAGTGTATACCACCTGGATGATTGACGTGTGACAGTGTATACCACCTGGATGATTGACGTGTGACAGTGTATACCACCTGGATGATTGACGTGTGACAGTGTATACCACCTGGATGATTGACGTGTGACTGTATACCACCTGGATGATTGACGTGTGACAGTGTATACCACCTTGGATGATTGACGTGTGTGACGTGTATACCACCTGGATGATTGACGTGTGACAGTGTTTACCACCTGGATGATTGACGTGTGACAGTGTATACCCACCTGGATGATTGACGTGTGACAGTGTATACCACCTGGATGATTGACGTGTGACAGTGTTACCACCTGGATGATTGACGTTGGACTGTATACCACCTGGATGATTGACGTGTGACAGTGGTTACCACCTGGATGATTGACGTGTGACTG